ATTCCCCCGCCCCCCCCCTCAAACGATGCCAGGTCAGTGATGAGAGATCAGATGTGCCGGAAGGTTCCGATTGTGCGAGGTGTTCCCGTGTCCCGCGTTCGTCCGCACCAGGGGATCTGAGTCCCGGCTGCCCAAGGGCACCTTCTGGGAGCAGAGGACAGCTGCCGGAGAGGGCGGCTGGGTTCTACCTCTGCGAGCTAGCAATCAGAGAGACTTATGAGGCTGACCGTTAGACAGAAGGGTACGAATCAGTCACGGAGGGAGAGAGAGAGAGAGCGAGAAAGAGAGAGCTCATGCTCTGCCTTGTTTTTCACTTCTTCTGCTCATCTCCTGTAGCCGGAAGACAAGTGCGAACCTGGCAAACACTCCAGGACTCCTTGAAAATCATCTGCTTGACAGAGTCATTTTTTTTCTGGTTTGTTTCGTTCTTCTTCCCGGCTGCTAACTGGCACAGTGGGGTACGGCTGACCCCGCCAGGCTAGGCAGGTGCGCTGTCCTGCGTTTCCGCAGCAACTTGTGACATTGGGCGCTTCTCTGAGAGATGGCATGTGTGTGTATGTGCTGGGGCGGGGGGGGGGGGGGCTGCTTCTATAAAAAGCCATCACATATTTGTCGCACAGTGAGCCTGAGGGTGGGGTGGACCGGTCAGCTCTCTAACCTCGCTTAGGCCTGTGTAAACTGTGCATAATTGCCCCTGATATTTGAGAGAATGTAGATAGTCCGCTGATACTTTCCTGACCATTTGCCACACGCCCCCCCAAAACACCACCACCTATTTCACAGGCATGTCCACCAGAGCCTGAAATTCCATGACAAACAGAAGAAATTTATTGACATTGTACACATCCATGTATCTGTTGTTCTGTGTGTCAGTCTGTATTTTCTGAGGCCTGGGACTTTTCTCTCCGATGCTTCAGTATCAGCATCGCAATCCAGACTCGACACAGCTTACGGCCCATTTCTGCTTTTGGCCGATGGTCTGAGGCGCTTGCAGTACGGCACCTCCTCTCATGCCACACTCAGAAGTGCTGCCCTTACTTTCATGCTCCTGCTCTCTGTCATAGCCCCACGTGTCTGACCCACCGTGACACACAGAGGGAAGGTCATTCAGTATCACGTTCACTGACCATCCCGTCACAATGAAGTTCAGCTTTGGGTTTGGCTGATATACCAGGGTGCTCACCTGCTCTGGTTATGACTTGTTACAGTCCTGGTCATAAGTATAGGACTGGCTTAATCTCCTGACTGTCCACATGGTTGCTTGTGTGAGGTCTGAATTAACCCAGAAGAGCAGGTCCTTTAGCTCAAAGCTGAGGACCTTTATCCAGTTTGACCTTCTGCCCGAGCTCTGAGACTGGCAGCAGGAGGCACCCTAACACTCACAGCGCCACACGGAACCCTTCCCAGCCTGGTCACTGTGAGCTCCTGACCTTTGACCTTTGACCTCTTCTCTGCCTATTCCTACCATTCATTTCCTGGTGATTTAATTGGTTGATTGTCAATGACTGGTTGGTTCTCCTTTGATTGCCTCCTTGTTTTTGGCTTCTGTCTCTAACATTTGGAATTACTGGTACTTGATTTGTAAATGAAGGTTCTATGTTGCATCACCTGCCTTGATTTGAAGTTATGAATAAAATCATTGATGTTATTTTCACCTCCTTGAAGCGTCTGTTTGATCGTGCAGAAGAACATCAGTTGCCCAATTGTGAGTTTAATGGTCACACAGTGTACTTTAGCCAAATTGTTGACCTACCACAGAATTAATACCAGATATCTGTTTCCAGTTCAGTTGTTGGGTGTGACAGGAAGTAGCAATTAATGATGGAACCTGCAGTGAAACGTAACACAAGCCGAGAGAGACAAGGAGTCACGATAAATCTGAGCAGAACCTGTCTACACCTCAAGGACCTTGCTCATTTAGTGTCATTATGAAGACAGTGCACGATTAAGGAAGTGTAGGCAGCCCACTAAAATACTACCCCCATCCATAAAGCCCCAACCCCCCAAGGCTGACAGCTTACCTCAGACATCTCTGGACCCCAAATTCCTCCTAATCTCTGAGTGGGAGATCTGCTGCCTCTACTTGCTATCAGCTTTTCTGTTACTAAAGGGGTCCTCGTGAGAATGGATGGCCTATTATGGAGACGGGCCCACCATGTCTGACTGTGATATCCCAGAATGCACTGGGTGTGGGTGGGTGTGGATGAGATAGCAGCCGCTGAAATGTCTTGCGGCTCTCACAGTGTCCGTGCGCGAGCGGGATACTCCGGGTCTGTGACTCCACGGCCCCACGGCAAAGCCTCGTCTCTCCGCAGCGGCATGGCGACCTTCAGCGGCTCTATATCCCGCTCCAGCCGCTACAGCAGCAGCTCTGTTCGGGCGGAGTCTGGCTCCAGGCCCGGATTGGCATTCCAGCCGTACCTAGATGCTGGGTGCCGTAGGCTGTTTGGGAATGAGGGGACTGAAGATCATCTGAACCTGTCAGCGTTCGACCATTGTGGTGAGTGTTAGGGGGATGGCGGTCTGGCTTCTGTCCTCACCAGAAGAGCAGTTTTGGCATTTCGCGTTTCAGCATTTAAGCTGTCAAACAGCAGTGTTTCTCAGCCCAGTCCTTGAGGACTCTCAGCAGTCCGCATTTTTGCTCCCTCACATATCCCAACAGGCCTATAGCAGGTATTCGGGGTTCTTGATTGGCTGGGAGCTGGGAGGAAGCAAAAACATGGACTGTCAGGGGGCTGAGTTGAGCAACATCGTAGTATAACCTCTTCGCTAACTGCATAGGTTACTGTGGCAGCAATATCTTTAAACTGATATCTACTTTCCACATAATATTTCATGTTCTTTATCAGACATGATACAAAGATACAAATATAGAGATAGACGAATATTGCTTGTGTTCGTCTTCAATAAAGGTTTAATGAAGTTTGATTATAAACAAATCTGTGGCCTTTCTGAAAGATAAAAAGGAACGTGGAAATATGTCTGAGATGACAGAGGTGAAGTGTTACTCGGGATGGTGACCACACTGGCTTTGGCTGCCGCACCGTGTCTCCCAAAGGCAGAACTCTGCTTTGACGGTGAAAACAGTCAGAAGTACGGATGAAATTAAATTATCCTTAATTTTTCCATTTGCATTGGATTGTTTTAATTTGCCCAATACACACAAGTACAAGTGAGAGTGAATCTTGGAGTCAGAGTACAGAGTAGCACTGGAACATTTTTCAGGGGTTTAAGGGCCCAGCATAAGAGGGAGGGCAGCGGTGGCCTAATGGTTATGGACACATGCTTGTGATCGAAAGGTTGTTGGTTTGAATCCCTGCCCAGCAAAGTACCACTGAGGTACCTTGTTGGCAAATGAGTGTCTTCTGAGTATGAGGGAATTCTTCATCTTGCCTACTGGGATGTACCTTCAAGATGTATGTTTAGGGTGCACCTTCACAGTGCACCATGTCCTCCATGCATGGGACATTGCTGAGCTGTCCCCCCCCGCCCCCCCTCCCGCAGGCTCGTCCTACAGTGTGTCAGCTGACGTCAGCCAGTTTGAGCCTGGGGATGTGGTGGTGTTGGCCTTCAATTGCTGTGTGGTCATCCATGCTGAAAAGGTGGGGGCAGCCTGTAACCCCCATTACCCCAGCCTTGTGTGTTTCCTCCCTCCTATGTCCCTGTCCAACCTTGTCCTGCTCCTGGCTCTGCTCTGCCCCCAGGTGGCAGATGATGGTAGTGTCAGCGACACCTTCACTCACAGGAGCCAGCTTCCTGAGGACATGGACCCTCTGACGGTCAGCAGTGCCTTAACGGCCGAGGGGATTCTGGTGGTGAGCGTGAGGAAGAGGAGCAGCCAACAGGAACATGACCGTGACCTCCCCCCTCCAGCCTACTGTGCTCACAGCCATGTATAACACCCCTGCACTCATTCCTACAGCTGTGTTTGGAAAAACTTCATTAAAAGTATTTATAAATGTTCTCAGCTCAATGTCTTCTTGCTTCCACACCCACAAACTCATTTAATGGACATTAATCCCAAACAGCTATCAGTGCTGGGCAAACTATTGGAACACAAAGGCCTTTTGTGAGCTAACAGCTGCAGTTTTGCCCTTTTCTCCAAGACGTGGAGTTTCTCAGTCATCCTTAGATGCCTGCAATGCCAAAGATAATCAAGCTCTGTTTTCACTAAACAATGTGCGTAATATTCTGACTTCTGGCTGGTAGGTGTAGCTGTGGTTGGCCAGTCGGATCCCACAGAAACATCTGATCTGGGTGGAAGGAGCAGAGCCCTCTGAGGTTATGTGGGATCTCATGAGCCGGGCTGGGTTGGACTTTCAAGGTAGCTAACGACAGCATCTCCACCCCGAGGCCAGAACCCTGTTGAAGACCAACACAATGAACGGCGGAGAGTGGAATGGGGAGCTGCGTGAGTCAGCTGGTCAGTCAAGACAGAAATAAAAATGCGCTCGTAATGAGGACACGCTTGTCAAGATCGATGCGTGCACCGATCTGGTGAGACAGAACGACACCCCGGTTTGAAGGAAGCTAACGAAATCCCATGCTTGTCAAATCCCATTTCCTCTGCACGAGCCCCGTCACTGCAAAGCGGACGACGGCCTGCAGAAGCAGCTGCGTCTGCAAACGAACTTCCACAGAAAGACCTCCTGCTGTTCGTGTAATTTAAGAGCTATTTATGTTACCGCTGTTCATTTTCCAGCTACAAGTTTGCCCCTGTGAACTTTGAATAAATGAAGACCCATATAAGTCCTAAAAACATTATTCAGCCCAGCATACTGTATACGCAAGGTGTCTATGCATTCGGCCGGCACTAAGGTATGTAAACTTGCAGTACCTGGTGGCAGTGGAGGACGATTGTTCCCCTTGAGCCTGGTTTCTCCCAAGGCTTCTTCCTCCCTCTCTTGGGGAGTCCTTACCACTGTTACCTCAGGCTGACTCTCTGGGGACCTTGAGGCCGGGACTCTGTAAAGTGTTCCGTGACAGTACGCTGTGTGGAAAGCGTTACATAAATAAATTGCACTGAAGTGTACGTTTGAGGTCACGTCCTGGCAAGTGAGTAATCACCGAAACATGAAACCTCCTCAACCTTGTAATGAGGACGGACAGATGCGACTAATTGAGCAAGGTGAGGCCAAGACAGACAGACTTGCACACGCAGGCTGCTAGATTATGATTGGACATCTGGCACAAACCCGGGAAACCCACCCGCCTCTATTCAACACCAGGAACCAGCTACCAGCCCCTAACCTGCTTCCCCTGGAGGCACCTGCCTCTACTCAACACCAGGAACCAGCTACCAGCCCCTAACCTGCTTCCCCTGGAGGCACCTGCCTCTACTCAACACCAGGAACCAGCTACCAGTTCCTAACCTGCTTCCTCTGGAGGCACCTGCCTCTGTGATTTCCCTGAAACATTCCCCAATGAGGTGCAAACACATGACCGCAATGTGGACACAACATCACAACACAAAGGTTCAACGTTTGTTAAAGCTTTATTTATCCCCGATATACAAAAATAAAATTAGTCAACCTCTCGTCTGTTCGACGTTGGCATGTACAGTATTTACAGGTTCAGGGTTAGAGCCCGACAGACAACCAGGCAGACAATACTAACACAAACGGCTGGAAAAAAAACATCCGCAGTCATTTATTTTATATATACACATACATTATATATTCCATTTCTTTACAAAAATAAGGTTATCTTGTGTTCATGTCAAGTAATCGATTAAAATCTGGTTATAAAGTGAGATGAACGATCATTATTGCACAAATTTATTACCTAAGAAATCAAATAAGAACTCCATGTTACCCTTGCTGATTAATACATTTTAATAAATATGCACCTGCCTTTTTAAGTTTGTGAGGAAATGTATGATGGGCAAAGGTATGAATAACAGGGAGGGAGAAAACGGTTAGAACACTATGATTCAGAGGCAGATGGGTATCAGCGAGGAGATTAAAAGGCTTGCATTTATTCCAAGCATGCCCAGGTAGACCCTGGCTATACCCCGGGGCACTTGGTGAAATGGATCTTGCACAAATACTGCAGATCTTTGAGATGTGGATTCATGCTGCGCTGTGAGGCGTCAGGAGTCAAGGCATCCGGCGACTCCTCAGCAGATCGGGACGTTTAACGACGAAAGCCACGCGTCGTGGAAATGTGAGGTCAGTGCTAATTGCAAAGTGACGTGGAGCCCAACAGCAGGAAGCGCAGTAAAAAGGAAGCAAAACGCCACAATATAATTCAGTTACAGTGATTACAGAACATGTAACATAATACAGACTATAAAACATTTTCATTCCATATTTTTGGTTGCAAACGAAGGAACTGGCAACTTTGAATATCGCATGCTCTAGGGAAAATGGTTCTTGGTCGTGTTTGTAGCTTGGAAGGTGGTTTCTGTGTGGGTGTAATATTACACCCAAAGAATTTCTTTCAAACACATTCTTTACCGGGAATCCCGGTAATGTGACAGAGCAGGGATGTGCAGGGGCAGAGCATGGAGTTATGTCCATGCATAGCAAGATCACAGGCTGGCAGGTCCACAGATTTGTTCATCCGAGTTAGTCAGACAGATGGTAAGGGCATAGTTAGGCACACTTAAGGAAGGTCAGTGTTGCAATCAGAATTGCTGGGTGTCATGGCAACACAAAAACTGTCCTCCTTAGTATGGCTGGGCGTCATGGCAACACAAAGACTGTCCTCCTTAGTATGGCTGGGCGTCATGGNACTGTCCTCCTTAGTATGGCTGGGCGTCATGGCAACACAAAGACTGTCCTCCTTAGTATGGCTGGGCGTCATGGTAACACGAAGGCTGTCTTCCTTAGTATGGCTGGATGTTATGGCAACGCGACACTGTGGCACCTTGCACATGGCTGGGCGTCACGGCAACATGGAGTCCTCTTTAGTATGGCTGGGCGTCATGGCAACACAGCACCGTGCCATCTAATGTATGGACAGGTGTCATGGAAAAACAGAGGATGAAGTTACAAAGACAAAGGCCATGTCTTCCTAGAGCACAGGCGAGGTGTACAAGCTTGTAAGCCTGTGTAAACTTTCAAGTGTGTGTACAAGGTACAAATACAAGCAGAGGTCAATGGAGTAGATGATTATGATGGTGGAAAAATTTAAGTAACCCCCTCCCCATAAAATCATACACAAAGTAATGATTAACTCACCATATGGGTCTAAAATACACAGCAACTGTAGTGAAAAGTCAAGAATTGTCAATATTGAAATGTTTCTTTTACAGATTGGGGATATACCCACTACACACAAATTTAATTGGTTCATAACCTACTGATCTGTAATTGAATAATTATCAGTTAGTACCAAAGTTCCTCGTAGCTAAAGCGTTCAAACACCTGGGTTAATTAAATTAGACAAAATTTGCATCTTTCCAAGTGCTGCATTAAAAACTATAAAAAAAAAATGAGTTGTACCAAGAAATGGTCCCAGTTCAGGTCCTGTGCATGACCCAGTTACCCAGGGTCAGGGGTCGTTTGTTTGACTGGCTGCTTATGTCTCAGTCATGGTATCAAGCAGCTGACTGAGTTTCTTCCTGATTTTTAAAATATATTGACGTTTCAGTCTCCCTCTCTATAGGCTGGCTGCGTTTCAGCCTCCCTCTCCATAGGCTGGCTGCGTCTCAGTCTCCCTCTCCATAGGCTGGCTGCGTTTCAGTCTCCCTCTCTATAGGCTGGCTGCGTTTCAGCCTCCCTCTCCATAGGCTGGCTGCGTTTCAGCCTCCCTCTCCATAGGCTGGCTGTGT